GATCTTATTGAGGTCTTGGCCTAGAGTTATAGAATTACTCTTGTTATATGGATGCACCACATCAAGATCATATTGAAGTCCTATTCTAGAGTTGTAGAGTTATTCTTGTCATGTGGATTCAAATCTGCCCATATTTGTAACTGCTGCTACAAACTCATGTTTGATGGTTTTGTTCCTGTAGCTTCTACCATATATTCCTTCTATGATCTGAAGCAGACGCAACTCATGCATGTTCAGTCTGTTGACAGAGAACTTTTTTGTCCAACCCTTCCATCACAAACTATTCAAGGAAATAAATCCAACCCAAATAGCAGTACAGATCCACTTTCTTACTCAGTTGTAGTTTGCTTGGAACCATTCAGATCTAAGGCTGCTTGATAGTGGCACCCTAACATGCCTAACACTGTTCCAAGGCATTCCTACTGGAGAACTACTCTGTTCATCTCTGCATGGGGTTTCACATCTTTCATTACTTGGCACACAAACATGAATTTTTATTGTTATTTTAATTCAGTCACTTAAAATTAGCACTGGAGGAATGGCAACTGTTGATTTTAGTGTTTCATTCTGCAACAATTGTTTCTGTATCTAGCTAAGTTTAGCATTCATCTTGCAACATGAAGACATGAATATATAGGCCATACAGTAGGTCTGCAAGAATCCTATGTCCAGATAATCAGATCGCATATAACCACCAACTTATCAATGGCATTGCAGTTCGAGTATTACTTTTCTTTTTTCTGCACATCCTGTTGAAGACAAATCCGTTTAATTTAAGTATGCGTTGTCAGTTGGATCCTGAATTCTAAAGCTCAAGAAGAAGCAAACCTTCATGAAAATAGATCCAATGGTGACGCGGTCTCTGGATTCCTTTTTTTCAATGCATCCTGTAGTTGTGTTCTCTGGTTATGCTGCCTGCAACAGACCGAAAATCTCAGTTCCCTCTTTATCTATCACTCCTTATTTTTCTACCGGGACAATAGGTAAGTGTTTGAAAGATTCCATGATAAAATCTGTTAGGTCTGCATGGAAAAAACAACGTAGAACTTGCTTCTGATAATAGGTTTGCGGTGTATTCCACAATGATAATGAAAAGAGAAGCAACAGAATATTGGCCCAAATTATCGTGCTCGCGACTTGTGTGCCGAAATGTGGAACGGACCGCTGCACTCTCAGCTACTTTGGCTAAACCGGGGGTATGGTATTGTCAAAATTTTAACCCACTGCTTCTAAGCCAAGCGACATGAACCTGATGGATTCACACGGACTTGGGGCCCATTAGATCCTCCACCGATGCTGACCTAGCTCAATTGAACCAATCAGCTTAGCTAAAACTGACACTAGAAAATGAAAATGACAAAAAAAACAAGGGGAAGAAGCAGAGGTAGTTCATGATCAACCAATGACCCAATCCGATCCGATCCAATCGGATCTAGGCTTCTCATTTCCACCAGCCGGCATAACTCCCCAACATCCACTGGGAAAATCCACCCCAAATCATCGCGGCACTCCAACAGCTACATCAGCTTAACGAGTTTTTCTTTTCTTCTTTTTTTTAAATAAAAACATTCTGAAGAGTGAAGGAATAAATAATCCCCCAAAATAAACACTTCCGTTTCCTGATCAGACAGTTGCCTTATCTCGCCCCCATCCATACTTTATTGCTGCGCCCTCAATCCTTGCCACCTACACTTTCCTTCCCTTCCCTTCCCGTCCTCTCCTTCCTGTTCATTCTTCAATCCCAACTGGGAGGGTCCCAGTCCCAGACACGTCGTCCCATTGGCACATTTCCCACGAATGGAGTGCGCTCATGATGGATGCTGTAGCCCAATCACTCGCTACTGCCAGGCAGGGATTGAAGAAACAATGCCTTGCCTTGCCTTCCCTTCCCCTCCCCCCCTCCCCTCCCACACACACCCTTTCGGATTGAAGTACCAGACATTTCCCCACCCTCATTAATTCATGAGGGACAAGGAAGGAAAGGAAAGGAAAGGGAAAAAGCAAAGCAAGCAAGACCAGGGACCAGGTCAGCGAAGGGAGGGTACTAACCACACTGCCAAACTGTAGGGTAGGTTTAGGGTAGGGTCGGACAGAATAGTGGGGGGGGGCATTATTGAAAACGCGGCACCACCCTTAGCTGCTTACACTAACTACACTAATGTGCCTCAGGGGAAGTAACCAGATTCATTCAAGGACGGAAGTTGACAGCAGCACCACCACCGCAAGGGTGGGTTAGGGGAAGCCGTGGAGGCCGTGCCCGGGCGGGCATTCTCTCATCATCGCTGGAGGCGGCTGCCTGCTTTACTATCCAACCCGACGGACCTACCTACCTACCAAGTGGGGCTTACTGGCTGGCTCAATGGCTGGCTGACTACAGGTAGATAGGTCCTAACCCTATCACCAGACAGACCGACTCCCGGCATTCCGACCAACCTGCCCAGAACCAAACAAAACAAAACTGAAGAAGCGAATGCCCGCTTCTTCTTCTTCTGAAGACGACGCCGCGACTCGTTGGCCCCACTCTTGCGTCGATCCCTCCACCACCCCTGTCCCCCCCTCCTTTCACATCTTCCCCCCAGGGACATGAGCGGGTCAAATGGGCAATATGCCGGGTCTAGTCAGCTTCTCCAGATCGCCCGTGGAAAAGATCTCGGAACTCGTTCCCCTAGGGTAATGCCATGTCACCCCTGGAAAAACCCTACTCGCGATTGTTGACTCTCCCTTGGGGGATTGAATACCCCTTACCACATATCATCAATAAGACGACATTTACCCCTATCCACCGATTCAGTTGATTTTGGGGCGGCTGTTTGGATTCGCAGGGATAGGTCCTGATGTCAATTTGGTCTTTGGGTGGTGTTGCAACGACGCCTCACTTTCTCTGAGCAGGGACAAAGGAATTTTTAGTTTACTTTTTGTCCTTTATATCCTTCTTCCTTTTTCTTTTTTTCTTTTTTTTTTTTCATTTGAGGGGCATCGGATAAATTATTGATTTTACCTTTGGGGGGGGGGGTTATTGTGCCACGCTGGCATATTCAAAAATTTATCATTCTTATGTTTTCTGATATTTTGTTGAACTTTTCAGCAAGCTTCCAGCCGGATTTTATTTAAATCTTGAAGTTAAGAGTTTTGTTGCTAGCATGGCATTGTTTGATATTTTTAGCTGTTAAATTACTCATTAATCTAGAATTAGTTTTGGGAAGGATCTCTATAAATTATTCAAAATTAATTAATAAGTTCAATGCCCATCATCAAAAGTTAAATCGTGTTGGTTCAACAATTATGCTTGGAACATTGTCCATTAGTATGATCATTGTTGCAAAATGACATGTATTTTGTAATTAAATTGTATGTTACATTGATTTTACCATGTTTCTAAGTTCTTTGGGATTATAATACACATCTCAATTCCATAAGGCTTCAACATTGTTGTACCGTTTTTTTTAGAACTACATATGACATGAAGTATTCTTGAAAAAGTACAAGATGTCAACCATAATTTTTGTATAATAATTCAAAGAAATTTGCATAATTTTTTTTACTTGGAATAATTAAGCACATTGAAATATAATATTATAATCATTAAAAATATATATAATTTTTTTGATAACTTTAATGAATTGATTATGAATATGACAAGATGGATTGAATGTATTTAAAACAAAAGATGTGAATATATTAATGAATAATAAAAAGAAGTTAATGAAGGCAATTTCAAATGTGTTGTGCAGTTTTACACTGACAACATATATAATGTAAGGGATTAAGGTCAATATTGGAACTTTAATGTCACTTATCTTAGGGGAATGTTAAATAGACCCAAGTTTTTACTAAGTCAAACCACCCATCTTAAACATCATGAAAAAAATAATGACCTCTAGATTCATTACACCACTTTTGAATTTGCAACCAATAAAAATCAACCACATTCATCATGATTATCATATTCTTCATCGAAAATGGGTCTATTTTGTAAAAGCATGGGTCTATTTAACATTCTCTTTATTTTATCAGTTCATAAAAATATGTATAAATATACAAATGTAAAAATGTTTTAGATCAAATGTTTTAGTATATTTTAATATTATCCTTAAATATTTAAAAAAAGTACAAGAAGTATATAAATTTTATTATTTTTTTCTAGGTATACATTTTATTTGTTGTTTAGTAATTTATTAATGCAAAAAGCTTCCAAAAACCAATATTTCTAAAACTTTTTTATTTTGAAAATAAGTCAATAAAATAGATAAACAAAATTAGTCATAGATTGATTGGAAAAACATTTTAGTGGAATAATAGTCTATTGTTTGTATATATGTATGTATATCTCTCTCTATATACATATAGATAAGAAAATAAAACTTATTGAACATGTTTAAATTATGCATATTGTACAGTAGTTTAAATTAACCAATGTTTATAATTTCCATATCTTCACAAAATTCTCAACCAAACTATTTACTAAAACATTTGACCCAAAACATAAAAGATTTACAATAATATGGTGTTTGATTTAAACTGAATTTTACAATTTCATACTTGCTTCATATTATTATACAATTCAGTTTGAATAGTGAACTTACAGATTAATCATTTAAATATATTTGACAAAAACACAAAGAAAAAAAATATTAAAGAAGTTGCATTAAAAAAAAATTGTAAAAAATGTGTTCATCATAAGCCAAATTTTCTTTCATGAAGTTACATGTTATTCATTTGATTCATGGCTTATAAACTGTTTGAAAGGTATAAACAATGAAGAAACCTGACAAAATCACATCCACAACCTCATCATAAGTAATAAAGATGCTCCATCATATTCCTTCAACATGGATTTATGTGGAGTTTGGCAAACTACAAGAATTTATTGGGCTACAAATATGGATAATGAAGATGTTGTCCATCACGCCAACTCTTCCAAACCAACAAATGGGACAAAACTATTTTGATGTATTTATTTATTTTATATTAGAGCCACTGTCACGTGGCATTCTTTGCAATCCATTCTCACTTCCTACGTGGCAATTCTTATTGGCGCAAACATCAAACCCTACAAATAGAAACCGCTTCTCAAGCTCCGATGTCTCCGGCCTCCGCTTTGTAGGCCTTCTTTTCTGGTTTCCCCTTCAATGCGAGTGGAAGCGGCGGTCCTGAGGTTGTGTGATATAGTCGATCTGAAGCTCACCCTTCTCCCTCGCGGGGATCCCCGCATCTTCAAGAATGTCAGTCCATGGCTGCCATCCGAGTGAGCGAGGGTCGGGAATAGATTTCGAAGAATTAGGGTTACGTCAGCGTCAGCCTACAAGACCAGAAAAAGTCAGGTGTGACCAGCGGAAGGCCCACCCGCTTTATCTGTGCTGGTAGTAACTCGGAGTCTGTGGTGCTACAGGGAGTGGCTGCCGGGGCGCCTCTGACTGTTGCCATTCCCAGATTCAACGGTTGCTGTGAGTTAGGGGGTTGTTTTTTCCCCTTCTCTCCTTTTCTTTATTTCTTTTTTCGAATTAGAGAACCGTGAGCTAATCTCTCACTTTTTGAGCTGCTGACAGGTATGGACTGTTGGCCAGCCACCGTCTCCAGCATGCTCACAGCCATCTCAATGACAGAGGTGATCTCAGTCCCCGCTTCACTCCCACACGTTTTGGCTTCTCGGAAGAAGGGAGATGAGTTCCAACCTCTCTACCTCGCATACTCTCTTGCTCTTTGTGTCGCAGCATTGGATGCTGCTCCCCCAAGACTTCTTGTGACTGGTGTATGAGAGAGTGCTCAAGCAGAATCTGAGTCGGCGCCTCCGTGTGCAGTGCCCTACTTCGTGTTTTGCTGTGCTTCTTGTGTGTGGAAAATGCAGAACTCAGCTAAGGCGGGGCAAGACGGGGCAAAGTCCTCTCTCTTCTTATTGGAAGTTATGATGTCGACAATGCAGACCAGTTCCGAATTGGAAATCTTGATTCTCTGCATCGAATTCTGTTCTGCCTGCACCGATGTGCACCAACAACCACAACGAATTACTACACTCCAATGCTGCCGAAGGGTCCACTTGGTTTGCCAAACCTTAAGTTGATCGTGGATCACAGCTTAGCCACTTGTTTTAATGTTAGCAGGATAAAGCACACATACACGAGCGCACACACACATTTATAGAAGAAGTTAGATTTGACTTTTACAAATGTTTATGTAAACTGAACATATGAATACGCTGTTACTGTTATTCTTAACAAAAATATGAAACACTGTTGAGGAACACATTAACGTATATATATATATATATATATATATGTCTTCATGTACACACTCATGTGTATACATGGTCCAAAACTTGTAACTAAATGGATCTTTACATCAGTTGTTTTTTCTTATTCATAATTGTTGATGCGTCATCTTACTTGGCCAGTACATAGGTATATATATATATATATATATATATATGTATGTGTGTGTGTGTGTGTGTGAAAATAAAGTTTTAACATATTGTTTCAATAGTACTAATTTATTGACAAGTGTATAGTACATATACTCTTCTCAATTGAAATTAAAACCTCCCAAAGAATATCAATATAATACAATTAGTATGAAAGTAACATATTATTCATGAAATTGCTGATTTGTTTCACCACAGTGATGCTATGAATTTACCAATTACCTGATTTTTGAAACGTTATTCGAAATAATTGTAAACTAATTAAAATTACTAATCATCAACTTCTAATTTTTATTGTTACATAAAATGTTTTTAGAATAAAAATAAAACACGGACTTTAGAAATAAAACACCTTGTCTGTGTGTATGTTTTGTGTGTGTTATTACTGAAATAATGGCACATTTTGGTTTTCAATTATCTGAAGATGAATGATTAAAGGATTCTGACTAATATTCAACACACACTTCAGTTATTCATTTTCTCAAATTTTTACCCATCCACCACAATTCTCCATCCTTACCTTCCTATTTCATTTGAGTAAAGAAGGGAATAAAAGAAAAAAATAAAAAATAAAAAATGGTTGCATTGAAGGCCCATGCACAACATGTCAAGTGTCTTGGTTTTCATGCTACAATTGCATCATACATGATAAGTTTGTAAGATAATTCCACATTCAACTCTTAATTAACTTATACTCGAACATGGATGTTATATTCACCTACACTGCCACGTCATCAACACAGAACGACAGAATGATGCTTAAATACAGCACTCAGACAGACAGACAGACACACAGACAAATAACTCCCTCTCTTTCTCTGTAGTACTCTCCTCCTGTCTCTCGCGTATTCACTCGTTCATCCACTCCGTGCTCATCAGCCATTCATCCACTCTGTGTCAATCCACCATTCATCCCCATTCGTCAACTGTGCTTGGGCTTGGGTGCCCGAGGGGTAGGCGTCTGGCAATCCACTGTGAGGGGATTCTGAACGTGGATACACGTTCCATTACTTGCTTGCTTTGCCACGGCCTCACAAAAAGACCACACAATCAGATCTTGAGGGCTCGCATTTCCATGGGGGATCTGCTGTTGCAGTGGGCTCAGAAGACTTGGTGATCCCCCCCCCCCCACTTACTTTGCAGCTTGGTTTCATGCTCCATTTCAGTCCCATATTTGACAAATAATATTTCATCCATCAAGGCTCTTCCAGAGCAGTGGAGAAATGAGTTGCGGGTTTACAAGCACAGTCCATTCTGTGAAGAATAGCTCTGTTGGAGTTGATATCCAAAGGGAATGCTGATTGTCTAAGTATTGGGCTGCTTTAATATACTACAATCATCAATTGTGGTTCAATGTAAATGTTGTACTTTCAAAATACAGTATGTTGGTTTCAATTGTGGTTCAATTGTGGTTTTATGACAGATTTACAGCAAAAACAGCAGTGACATCTTGAACATACATTAGTCATTTGGATGTTTTTCACATTTTCGAATTTGCTTACGTACCAAGTTCACACAACATAATATTTTCATAGTATCATATTGGATTTGAATGCATTCAGAATTTAAAACTAACTTCATAATTTTAACTATGATCTGATACAATTTTTGTGAGCGTGAGACACACACACACACACACACACAATATATATATATATATATACACATATTTATATATGTATGAGGTCATGCAAGTTTTGACTAAACAAAAAGAAATCTTTTGTAACGTATGAATGGATTTATTTTTTCTTATTCTGCATAAGATTTTACTTTATTACTCATGTCCAATATTGAATTTGTATTTCTTATTATTCAAAAGCACTTGTAGTGAGTGGTGTCATTGTAACATCCTTTACATCTTTTGGTGTTTAAAAAACACCAATAATATATGTCATACCATTTTATTTTATTTTATTTTGTTTTTTGAAACAAAAAGATTGGTTTGAATACATGCGCCAAATTTGTAGGATGATCCCAAACAAAATTGTTATCATTGCTTGGTGATATGGCATCAGACAATTATAGAAAAAACATTTTCAATTGTTGCAAAAATTGAAAAACATTGCAGAGCATGTGTAAAATAACATTTGGTTCAAATTGGTGTCAATGTTTATTGAAAACAATAAAAACAAAACAAATTCATAGTAGCCTTTAGAAAAATTGGTATACTGTTTGATATTGACCAATGATGGTGTAATGATGGAAAATTGCACTAAATCTTCTGCCTCAAATACCGAGGAGAATTCTACTACACAAAGACTCACTAATTGATGAGTTAATTCTTTGTTATAACAAAATTTGATTACTTCATCACAATTTAATCATTGTATAATGTTGAAACTCGAAATTATTCCAATCTAAGAACCAAATTATTTCTGGTTTGTATATCTTATCTATTAATTGTGATATTTTTTTATTTTTTATCTGTTAAATTGAACAAATCCGGAATCTTATTTAGGTCTACTTCTAATCAAATAAAAGATAAACTGATTGCAATGAATTATTTAATAGAACAAAATAACTCACATGCAGATATTTTGAATTGTCATGATGAATACTGGACATTTGTAGAATTTGTCAAATAATACATGTAGCTTTTATCCATTAATATTTCTATTAATATAAGTTGGGGATTGATTTTGTAAATCTTGGTCAATTTCCAATTTTTTACATGTTTATGAAGTAATGATTATATTCCTTGTTTTTCATCAACCTTGCATAACATGTAGCATTGTTTTTATTTATTGCCTTTCATGTAAAGATTTTTGGATTCAAGTTGGGAGAAATTCTTGAGATCATCTTTAAGTTTTTCTTACACACAATTACACAATATAGCTGAATTTTCATTAGCTATATCAAAGCCAAGAATCGAAATAGAAAAGCAAACTGAAATAAACTAGATAGTTTTAAGAGAATAATAGGTATTAGGTTTATTTATTTGTTTACCTATTTATTTCCCTTGTGCTATGTAAAGAACAAAAAGAAACAACATTTCAAGTCAACTTCAAGGATTGGTGAAAGGCTATAAGTCTACTTTTTTCTTACTTGAAAATCATTGCGTAACAACAAGAAAATCCATGAACGAAAAAGTGGGTGCATTATCATACATATATGCATGTGTGTTTTTACTTTGTTTTTTTCATTTTTTATTTATTTTTTGTTTTTAATGTTGTACACACTATTCAGATCAGGGAATTAAGCTAACCTTTTTTCTTTGATATAATTTTCCCCATTGTATTTCCTAATTTTTTTGTTCATGTATGTTAAATAATAAAAAGGGTCCTGTAGTGGGACAAGGTACAAAACTCAACTCCTAATTGGGGTGTCTTCTCAGACTTTGACCTAGAAACACAAACCGGTTGGTGGAGTGTAGAGATCCCGAGCTACACTTCTCAGTTTTTTCCTCCTCTAAAAAAGACCCCATGCCGTAACACCCATCGCCCAGTTTCCAGAAGCAAAATCAGAAGACAAATGCTTCTGTAGCAACAACAAATAGCAGCAGCAGAAGAAGAAGAAGAAGAAGAAGGGAAGGAGCGACAGTGAAAGAAGCAGTAGCAGAAGCAGCAGAAAGCAGAAGATTTGGCAGCTGCAGGGCGGGGATGCGCGAGGGGCAAGATTTGACTGGGGATCCCAAGGCGACGCTGCGATCGCAGAGGCGAGGATAAACTTCGGGGAAGAAAACAAAAGAAAAAAAAAGAAAAACACCCTCAGAATATGTTGTGTTCTCGCCTTACGAACAAATGGATGAAAGGATGGGAAAGGGGAAGGGAGGGGGAGTGATCCGCACAACTATTTGATCGATGCAGTGCGATGCGATGCGATTCGATGTGGTGTAGGGACAAGTAACAAGCACCTCTGCTCCGCAGTACGCAATCTTCCCCTCCTCCTCATGCCCTCCCCGCCCCCCAAGCCCACTCTAACTTTAGAGCCACCCTTTCCCCGTGTTCCACAACAGTAGCAGCAGCAGCATCCCCTCGTTATCCCACTCAGATTCCCTACTTTCCTATTACATTTCTTCGTGTCTTTCTATGCAAATTCAGCACCAGATCCACTCCTCTCCATCCTAGGAGGACCAATTTCGTCGTCCCTTTTTCCTGTCTCTCTGCATGCATGTCTGTCTACATATCTCTCGCTCTCTCTAACCAAATATAGAATTTCTCCGCCGCTCTATCTGTCCCACTGATGGCACTCCCCTCCCGCTCCCTATCCCTACCCTGGATGCCTTTTTAGGATTATAATTAGAACCAACCAATCTGTCTCCGAGTTGCGGGTGCTTCTACTTCCATTTCCTATTCCCATGTTTGCTGCTTCTGTTTCTTTCTGAAAAGGTAGGTGAATGACTACAGAAGGATAGCTCAACTCTTACTGTTATTTAATTTAATTTAATTTAATTTTTTGTTTGTTTGTTTGTTGTGTGTGTGTGTGTGTGTTTGTGTGGAGGGCAATGGAGAGAGAGCTTCTGTCTTCTATGATTCCGTTCAACCTGCTTCGAAGGTTCTAGATCAGGTGGGAAAATGGGGGATGGAAGGCCATGTTCGTAGGTACACACACCCTCTCCATTGTACCCATCTGCTGCTTTCTTGGGTAGATGGATGAACGGGAGGATGAATGAACGTATGGATGGATGGATACTATAGGACTCAGATATAATGTGACCCCCCCCACCAGGGCCCAGGAAACAAATAATACTGAGCATGGCAGCATGCTAGTAGTAATAGTAATAGTACTTTTATTTTTGTATTTGGACTGGTCCTACAACTTAGTACTCGGACTGGGGGGGGAAAACACTTTTTTGGGTCTTCAATGGTAACAAGGCAAGTACTCCTTCTTTTTCCTTAGAAAAAAAAATACATTTATATATATATATATATATAATGAAATGCGCTCAAAGTGAAAATAATACTTTCTTTGGTGCGTGTGCATGTATGTGTGTATGTATGTATATATATATATATATATATAGTCCTCTTATTGAAGTCTATATTTCATGTAGAACCTTCTATCATTCTTTTTGGGTCTTCATTCCTTGTTTATTTTTGTAAACATATTTTAAATTTCCTTCTTTAATAAGAAAATAGTGATGATATATAATAAGATTAGAAAGTGGAGTCAATATCAAATGGGACAAAGGTGATGTGTTGCAAGGCTGAGACAACAAAACCCACATGATTGTTTAACAAACACAGAAAAGACTTTCCTTTGTTATTACACCTGGTCACATTCATTTTGGGTGGAAACCCCCCTTTGATCACGCAGCAAACACATGAACTGCCCTTTGCCTTTGCCTTTCCATTGTTTGTTTTAATTCATTTCCCCTTCCAATTTCATCGAGTTGATGTTGAGAGGCTCTGGTTACCACTCTGATAGCAAATGAATCCTCTCTCAGCACAAGTGCAACTCTGTGTTTCCTGTCCCCCCTACTTTCTATTTCTCGATTCCAAAGAAGGACAAAAAGGGAAAACTAAATGAAGCAGGTTGTTGTAGGATTTCCGGCTGGCATCTATCCCTACCAGGCAAAGGCAGAAATTAACTGAGGGACATCAGAATTGAACTCTCTCTCTCGTGTACGATATGATTCCAGAGTGACAGAGATCCATCTCTAGCACTAACTCTTCGTCTTCGTCATCATCTATTTGTTTGTTTTCTTCCCTTTCCTTTCCTGAGCCAGCGGCATCAAATCCGATGGCGGTGGTGAAAGACAAAGCGGAGTCAAAAGTGAAAAGGGGGGAGGGATAGGACCACCAGAACAGAACGGGAAACTAACTGACATCCGGGTCTCGGCCCCGGGTTGCGGGGAGTGGGGGTGAGGTGGGAGTGGGTGCTGCTGCTGGCGATGGCAGGGGCACTGTCCGGTCTGGGCAGGCATGTTCATGAACCATGGCACAGGGAAGGAAGACAGGGCAGCCAGCACCCCCACCCCACCCCACCCCACCCCACCCCTTGTGTTGGCAACAGGCAGGGGTCGCAAACCATGACAAGAGGACATAAGGCAGCCTCGCCTGCTGCAGAACGAGAATGTAAATGAGCGTCGTAGTAATGGATGTGGGTTATGGAGTTAGGAATAGAATAATGGCCTATTTCGCAGCGAAACGGGAACGAGAACGACGAGGGGATGAGAGTGCTCGAGGATGGAAGACGATTTGCAGCCAACTTTGGTAACAAATCATGGTTATGCTCTCAACGTTCTTCGTCCCCCCGACAATCATCAATGGAGTTGTTCTGGTCTTCTCGACCCTGCAATTCGACAAGCAAGTAGAGGGCGTTTGTTTCATTGGCTAGATCTTGGGGTTTTGTGCCAGGTTCAGGAGGTCTGAGAGAAAACCAGGAAGAACAGTAAGCAGCTTGTGTAAGAGAGAGAGAGAGAGAGAGAGAGAGAGCGAGCGAGCGAGAGAGAGAGAGAGAGAGAAAGAGAGAGAGCGAGAGCGGTAGAGGGGGCAACGAGACAGTGTAGTTGTAGTAGTTGTAGTGTTTACTGGTGTGTGGCGTTGTTGTGGGTGTTGGCTTGAGTGCCCGAGGGTGCAGCGACATGAACTTCAAGTTGGTGAAGGAGGAAGCATACGCGATAGACATCGAGTTACAGGTTAAGTCGCAGGTGGGTTCCTTAGTAGAGTTGTGCTATGTTAGGGAGGAATCAGAGTAAGAAACAAGGTTTGGGTCCTGTGTGCACGCGCACGGTTGGGTGTCGGTTGCATGATGGCTTCCATGTAGGAACACAAATTGTGAGGCTAGGTGGGGAGCTGCGATGGTCGTGGTATGAAATGGGCCATGCTGCAGAGGAGAATTACAGTGAACGACGCTGCGAGAGACGTTGCGGAAGGGGTTTGTTGGTCAGAGTCGACAGGGTTGTGGGGCGTTTTGGTATCGGAGTTGTGTGGAATTCGTCCGCGGCAGGTGGTTCTTGGAGCCCAAGATTGCAGCTAGTCTAGTGATAGTCATCCATGTAAGTAGAGAGGAGTATTGTTTGAAGGAGGGAGAGGGTGCGAGGCGATGTCGTTGTGTTAGGCGAGGCACAGCAGTTGCTCTTTCGAGAACTACAGGTGCATGTGCAATCGAATATTTCTGAGCATTTTCTGTGGTGGATGTACGGTGGCCCATTGTCGGTGGCTATTGATTGGAACGAGAGCGTAATGTATGAGAAGGTAGTCATCGTTTCGACGGGCGGTAGCAGCGTAGTTGGATGCGTGGAAGCTGTGAGTGGACTGGATCGCAGCTTCCCGCTCGTCCGTCGCATCTGCAAGCGCATCATGTTTTGTCAGTGGGAGCCAATTCGCACGTTTACAGCCCTCATCGGTTCCAGCAGTTTGTACACAATGCGGGAGATTATGGACATTGAGTTTTTAATGGTTTGTTTTGCAGGTCTAAAACAAGCTAGAGATAACTTGGGGAATACTGTAGGAATTGCATATTGACTTCATCTTCTGTTGCACTGATCATTCGAAGGATGTGTGCAGTGTAAGATCGCATCAGAGAGCTTCCAGGGTCGGCTCTAAAGCAAGAAATTATGCATTACGGAGGTATGCACGGAGGTATGCGTAGTTTTGATGAAGGAGCCACGAAAATGGACGAGTTGAACTGTGAGCTATGGCATGCGTGCGCCGGGCCTCTAACGCAACTGCCTCCAGTGGACAGCCTTGTGATGTACTGGCCACAAGGGCATATTGAACAGGTACGTCCTTGTGCTAGTTCCCTCCCTCGGCGAAAAGATTACTTGCTTAACCCTTGTACGTGTCGTACTCCAGGGCCTGGCCTCGTCGGGGATCCTTGACATCACTTCCTTCGTGTTAGGCGGTGGCATTAGAAACACTGATAATGGTGAGTTAGTCTTGCTTCATTTTACCACTAACGAAGATTAAGATTGCGCTCTGGCAGGTAGTTGCATGTACGCCAGATTCTGCAGGCGCTGCGGATGTTTATCAAGCGTCGAAACAATTTTCAAATCTACCCGCTCATTTGCTTTGCAGGATAAGCAAGATTGAACTACAAGTAAGTAGCATACCGATATCTTGTGCAGCTTACACGGACAGTCCTGCTCGTTCTACTAGACACTTCAAAGGCGCTCCAAACTGGTGACGCATTTTCAGTGGATTTATCTATGGACATGTCCATCTAATGATAGTAGGGGTTTGGTGGTGCTCTAAGTTATTACTTGGTGCTGTGCAGGCGGACCCTCAAACTGATGAGGTGTTTGCGCAGATGGATCTCACTCCGCAATATGAGGTACTTCCTGCTGTTCAGTAACGCTTCCACCTTATGCACGTCAACATTCTAAATGTTCTTTCACGCTTTTCATATCCGCATCTTTGGGCATTGGTAACAGTGATTGTGATCCTGGCAGACTGAGCTCAGCAAAGAGACGAAAGACGCTCCATCACCAATCCAGCAGAGCAACGTTCGGAGTTTTTGCAAGACGTTAACTGCAAGTGATACGAGCACCCATGGAGGTTTCTCAGTACCTAGAAGAGCCGCTGAAGAGTGCCTGCCTCTGCTTGTGAGGGACCTGTTCTTATTACGTTCAAACACAGGATATGATTTGTAGCCTTATCTAGTAAACAATGCTTCCTCGATTCTTCGTGTATATTCCTGGTTTGTACATGGCACTCATGAGCTCACAATGCTTGATCCATTTACTTGTCAAAGTAAAGGGACGTCTAATTTTACGTAATATGCATTCATCTAATCATGATTTGTCCCGCTGATTCAGGACCACAATATGGTTCCCCCATGTCAAGAGCTCGTGGCTAAGGATTTGCATGGCAAAGACTGGAGCTTCCGTCATATTTATCGAGGTACTTACGTACCCATAGTGACAGTCCTTCGTACATCCTCTTATTCGCTATTAGAACTGCACAATTTAATCTGCAAGCGCTTGAGGGGTTCAAGTTAAGTGCTTATAGCTTAGCAATATTCATCTTTGGTTTTCTTCGTCTGTCCAGGTCATCCTCGGAGGCATCTTTTGACGACAGGATGGAGTGTTTTCGTCAGTCAGAAGAGGCTTGTTGCAGGGGACACTGTCATATTCCTTCGGTGAGTTCTGGCATATCGCTCTCTTTTCCCTTGTGCTTAGATATGACGTGTAGTAGATACATGGTAACTTATTGGAATATTGGTTTCACTGAGTGACACTGAATAACGATATTGGTCAGTACTTGCGTTGGTGTAGAGTAATCTTCAGTCCTTCGATACTCATGCTCCGCATCACGGAGATACATGTGATGATCAATCTTATTTTGTTCGTGATCTGATATGTCATGGATATTACTAACAATGGTGTCATTTTCTCTTCAGTGGAGAAAATGGTCAGCTCAGAGTTGGAGTAAGAAGAGCGTCAAAGCAACAGCCGCAAGCGCGTTCTACTCACTTTAGTAGCGCGAATTTGCATCTAGGGGTGTTGGCTGCAGCATCTCATGCAGCCACTGAAAGGCTGCGTTTTAGTGTGATTTACAATCCCAGGTTGGTTCATCTCATGAGAGTGGTTGATGATGTATTCAATTCTCCGTTGTTAGGTGCACAATAATGCATTTGAGAGTTGTTTGTTTGTTTCAATTTGGAACCGTTGTGGCAATGCCTAAGCAAAAGATTCTCACCCTCTTGTGATTGAAATCCTGTGCTTGGGATTTTTTAATCTCGATCATTTGTTGAGAGTGACTTCTTACTCTAGACAGAATGTTGTCTTACTGCGTGCAGGACCAGCCCATCTGAGTTTGTTATCCCCTACCACAAGTACTTGAGGTCCGAAGATAACAATCTGACAGTTGGGTCCCGATTCAAAATGAAGTTCGAAACGGAAGAGTCGACTGAGAGGAGGTATGATGCTATCTCCTTTTCTTCTAGCTATTCTTCTCGCTTAACCTGCATATATTTCAAGTATACGATTTGGGAACGGTTAGTAAATATTGCAATATGTTTTTGAACTTGTATAGGTACTCCGGTACTATTGTAGAAATAAGTGATGTCGACCCACTGAAATGGCCGAGTTCAGCGTGGAGGTCCATGAAAGTGGAGTGGGACGAATCAGCTAGTGAAAGGCACGAAAGGGTATCACCGTGGGAGATCGAGCCCTTAGTGCCGATCTCTACCTTGCCCACACCCCCTGTTGGGCCTAGGCCTAAGCGCCGACCACCTACCTTTGTGACAGACTCGGCCACTCTGGGTACTGCTTCTTTACTTGACTCCTATGAATGTCTGTTACTCACGATCTAGATGCACTATCTCCGCCCGTCCACCGTTTCGGTCTGATAGTTTCTGTTCTTCTCGGGTTAAAATGTGGTGTTTAATGTTGTTAGTGATGAAAAATATATCTTACCTTATTTTGCGTGATCACTTCTTTTGTTGTAATTTAACTCTGCCATTTGCTAATACATTGGTCGCTGTGATCTGCAGGACCGAGTCAAAGTGTGTTAGATCCTTTTCAGTCCAACAAGCTCGCAAGGGTTCTTCATTCTCATGACCCTCGAAATGAGCCAAGTATCGGAGATGACGATGACGGGGATGCTGAATCTTCCCGGACCTCTTCATTGGTTGTAAAGCAGGAACCACCGCCCAGGAATGGACATCAGATTTGGTTACAGCGTTCAGACGTTGCATCTTATGGCATACCTCCTAGCCCTTACGTCAACCGAAGGTTATCATCTGTGCCACCATTTGCAGCTCCCCTTCCAGAAAATACAACTGAGCTGCAACTGTCAGTTAATTCTGGCAGCTTGGATCAAGCTCCCAGCAATGAGGATTCGAGTGTGTCCTGGGCATCCTACATGGGTACTGGAGCTTATCAATTTCGGGATCCATCCTGTAATAAGATTTTGCCAAGTTGGCTGACCAATTCCAAATCAGCAAATCTTACGTCTCCCCCAGTGCCTGCAAGATCTCAACTGCCTATCACCTCGCTTAACAATGATCCAAAAGTGTTACATGCACACAATTTGTCCTTTGAATTGTGGGAAACGGTTGAACAGGAGCAACTTAACGCGTCTCCTGCATTGGAACAGCAGTGCAAGTTGTTTGGCTTCAATCTGGCTGATAAAGTAGTACCTACCCCTGTGTCGTCAGCACCATCACTTTGTGAGGACTCGGAAGGATCAGGCCCCTGGTCTTCTTCTGATCACACTTCCTCTACTTCTGCTGACACGCGCGTAGGAATGATTGTAACTGGAACTTATCAGCCGCTTGTGGCTCCAGTGAGAAGCGGAACCAAGGTGAGACCGTTTTCTCTCGTTATTTTCAGTAAACATTGAATTCTTATTCGATTCTTTATGGCATTAATGATGCTGAAACGATACCTGGTTCTTATGCAGGTCTATTATTCTGGAAAAGTTGGTCGGACTATTGACCTCAAGAAGTGTGAGAGTTACGCCGCCCTGAGACGCATGCTGGCATCCCTCTTTGGTCTTGAAGGTCAGCTCGACGATGTCACGAAGGGCTGGCAGCTCGTCTATACTGACCATGAAAATGATGTGCTGCTCGTTGGAGATGATCCCTGGGAGTAAGTTGCTTTTGTCACTAATGTAATTCGTTTTCAGTCTGTTTCAAAGTCTTTCCAGCCTTGCCGCATTTTTGTTTTTTGATTTCTTGTTTTGATTCTATGATATGCCTCTAACCAGGTTGTTCTTCGTACAGGGAGTTTTGCAATTGTGTGCGCAGTCTGAAGGTCCTGTCTCCACAAGATGCTGCAGGACAAAGCGTGGGAAAATATCCCATGACAAACTGTGATGAGGATGATGATTGGCAGTCTGCAGTGCAGAGCAGTGGCTGAAAGACGCCTGGTCATTCTGGATGTGACTCCAAGTGTTCATATCCTGGTTCCTGCTTCATTTCTTCTCTTTCTTTCACCCTTCGTCTTCATTCTTCTAATTTTTTTTTTTTTTTTTTTTTTTTTTTTTTTTTTTCCTTCTTTCTTTTCTCCTTTTTTGAGATTTTGACTGCAGGTCCTATATTCAGAAGTGGTGGCTAGGGATGGAAGACTTTTCTCCTTTGTAATAGGAGAGTTTTGACTGCAGAAGTCTCATCCTTGTACAGCATTACGTTTCTACAGGCGGTAATGTGAACCTTTATGGTAAACTTAGGATTGTATTCAGCGGCAGAAGTATTATGGTTATCTATAGAGCCTTTAAAAGTGATGGCAGCCGAACTGGTGTGTGCACCTTTGGGTGCGTATGTGGTTCCATGCTTATGTAACTCCATGAAGTGGGTTCCTTGAGGAATGCTATTGTTTTTCATATTAGATCGTGGATATGGCATTCCTGCATTTTCTGTGGTATTTCTGAACTGTAGCGCTGGTGAGTAGGCTGAGAGAAGCTGGGGTGAGCAATGTTTTGTATGTCATCACGTAATCATTTAAAATGATGGTTTTTGGGTAGCTGAACAATTCAGGCGGTTAACGTTAACGATCGATGCATTCTTTGTTAGAACCAAAAGCTTTAAAAAGGTGTGGAATAAATTGAAGTAGTTAATTAATAAATGGTTTTTAGGTTAACAGGATTTAAATATTAGATTTTTCTGTTTATCAATCGGTTATTTTAAGAAAATAAGGACACATTTTAAGTATCTAATAATTTGATCTAATATGTAGCATGATTTTTATTTTTATTTATTTTTATATTTTTTTGTTAGTGATTTTTCTCATTTCTCCATGCTTTGAATAAATATGTACATCTGCATGATGCGAATATTCTATCGGATCACATTTGACAATGTCGCCAATCTATTCATCCTTCCAGGGTGACCACGGGTTAACATTGTGATGCATAACTCATTTGGAGTGCAGAAATAATAAAATAAAAAGCTAATCTATCAATATTATCCATTGCTAATATAACTAAGTAAAATCTTAATAATAATTAGAACACCTTCTAACTTCTTAAAGGCTTCTAAAACTTTATCGAACTGAAATAAGAAGGGTACTAAAGAATTTATATGGCCTCCATTTCTACCAGGATAACAGAATGAACACTTAAATACATTTTGGTTTTAGAAGATTATGTACTTTATTGCAATGATATTTTATAGCTTCTGGCAGTCATTTTTTACTTATTGTGATTTCATAAAAACTATCAGATAAACTTGTTGTCATATAGTAATTATACAGGTAATAATGTCGTATTTATTTCTAAAATTCAATTTTTTTACAGTTATGTCATTGAAAAAAATCAAATGCTTTACGAAAACAACATATAAAAGTTTTTTTTTTTTTTTTTTTTTTTTTTATTTCTTTTATCAAACAAAAGAAAAGAATACAATGCGAAGTTTAAAAATTGCAATTCTGGTTCCTTTTAAAGACTAATGAAACAAACAATTATAGTTTACTGTGTAGTTTATTGGGCTTACTATCTTATGAATAAATTTCTAATTAATAAATAAAATAAAAATAAGTAAAGATGTAAATTAAGTATATTAGATTTTTTTTTTTTTTTTTTTTTTTTTTTATTTTTTTTATTTTATTGATTCCAATTCAAAGCCATTATATGTTATTATTCAAAAAATATTTTTAGTTTATTTATAAACTTCTAATCTAATAAGCTTTGTTTTAATAAAATTTCAACTTCAAAATCTTTTAATATTGGACACTTGCAATAACAACTCCAACAAAATCCAAACCTTATGTTCTTCAGTATAATTTAGAGATTTATTTTCATGTAAGTCTAATTACATTTTGAAAGTTGATAAAAAGATTGTTAAACACAAGAGTAAGTATTTAAAATAATTTGCTGTATTAACTAGTTTTATAATAGATCAACCTACATACTCAACTTTGACTAATAGTTTGGAAGCCTACCAAGTAGTTTGAAAGCCTAACAATTCTTTGTGTCTAAGATTATAAATTTAATTATAGTTGAGAATTTATAACTATTAAATCTCTAAAAATTTAAATAAGGAATTTGCAATATGCAAGAATAGCACTTAAATTTTAATTTTTTTGCTTTAAATCTATTATAATATATAGAATTTTTTAAACTTTGGTAATATTTAAGAAACTTCTAAATAAATTCAAAGCAACTAACAATTCTATGGTTAACCAATTAAAAGTGGTCTTTTTTGAAAGATAAAAATAATTTTATAAACAAAAGCTTAAATTTTGTATAGCTTTAGATCTAATGAGAGAATAAAAGCCTTTTCTTAGAATTATCAATCCTATCACGAATAAAGACCTACAATACATTAAGATCTTAACTTTTATATTTAAAAATAGAAATAAATAACTATAGTACCAAAATTCTTTTATAGAAAAGAATATCAACATAATAACTAATGTAAGAGAAGAAGAATTTGTTTTAGCATGTAGTCTTGGCCTCTTTATACAAACATATAGAAATCATAAATGAACCACCATCCTTATAATATTGTATAAGCTTGATTTATTATCTAAACTTGATCTTGACTCCTTAATAATAATATACTCAATACATGAAGAAAGTGACACCTTTGTGAGATCACATATTGTAGATTCAATATAAGAATAGTTAATTGTATAATACATTTTGACGAACCAATCTATACTACTATCTAAAAGAAAAGATGATTTCAACATCAACAATGCCAAACAACTTTAATAGAACTTTATTATTAGTAGGTTATAGCAACAACAATTCAACTCAACATTAGCCTCACTTAATACTATTCTAAACAAGGCTGACAACTTATAGCTCTTTTCATTTAAAATATTTGTATTATAATTGTAATAATTATAAATATTGATTAATATCTATCAACATATTACAATTAATATCATGTTACTTAGTAAGGAGAATCAATCTTTTATAATATTTTAGTTCCAACTTTCAATATATTACAAATCTAAATTGAGTAACAACATAGTAGATTCATCCTTGATGAAGTTACATCTATAGATTTAGATGACATATAACGTATTAAATCCTATCTATCTTTGATGCCACTTCATTAATTTATAATCTCAATAGGCCCTCTTTCAACATCCAAATTTTAAAAAATAAGTAATTTAACTTCTTAGAAAATTACAAAATAAGCTTTTTAAAGATCTTAATCTTAACTTCACTTCTCTCAATTAAGATTCAAATAACTAGCTTGATCTTAGCAAAGTAAGTACAAAAAAAGAGTACAAAGAGATGACAATCAAAATTACCACCTCCAATAATTCTAATTGACTTTAATGTTATTATTCACTTATTTTGTAACTCATATTAGTAATTATATATATATATATATATATATATATATATATATATATTTTTTCTATCATAGAAAATCTAAATTTAAGTATCTTACCAATTTCTTCTCTACCACATATTGAGTTCCTGTCAAATGTAAGCTTCCTAGCATTTCACTCTATGTTTTTAGTTTTAAGCTATCAATCTTAAATTATAGACTAATGCCGCCAAACACATTCTATTTGTTGCAAGGCCAATTTCCTAAGTGGGTCTCATGAGTACAAGATAAGTATCTTAAGTAAGATCTATGCTAATAATAGATGTCTTAGAAATATTCTAAAATCTAATAACTATGACTTAAATAATATAAGAAATGAATAAAAGAATTAAAAATTTCTACTTATTATATTCAAAGTAAAAAAAAAAAATTAATTATTATTTTATTATAACATATCTATTGGATGAAAGGAAAAAAATAAGAATTATATTATAGAAGAGTTTAATTGAAAATATAATATCAAATTATTTAAAAAAAATTAAAAAAATAGTAAAAAAATAATTTAATGCTGATGATAATTTTATGCAAAAAAAATTCTATTTACTTTATAAAACTATAAACAACGTAAAATAAAGTAGGTTAATAAAAATAATATTATAAAAATATCAAGTTAAAATTTTATATTTGTTTCTAATAAAAATTATTAAAAAAATCTTAATTTAATACTCAAAAAGAACTAATTGTGAATGAGGATTAAAACCAAAGCTTAAGGTATAAAACCATGCATCTATGGCATCTGTAGAATTTATTTGTTGATTAAAAAGTGGAATTAGAGAGAAAAATTAATAATATTTTTTTAAGCATATTTTTTGAAAGTTTTAAATAATAATAACATTATGAAAGTTTTGATAAATTTGGATTTTTTTGTGTAACTTTGTTTTTTGTGGTATAAAAAAAGCTTATATTTTGATAGATTTAATGAGTTTTATAATAAATCTATAAATAAAATATTTTGGATTAATAAAAAAATTTGTATTAGATGTATATTATATAATTAAATTTAATTAGATAGTGAGATTAAAAGTTATTAAAAATCAAGTAGATTAAGGTCTCAAAAATTATATTTTAAATATAAGTGAGGGCTTTTATGATTTTTAATAATTTTCTAATTAGAATAAAATGATGTTTTTAAGAGCTAATAGTTGACTTTGTCTTTGATATTTATGCAAATATCTAGATCAAATAAACAATATAAAAGGGAGTTATTGTTATAAAAAGTTTGACATCAAGGTTAGAAAAGAAGGACAATCAATACCTAAGAAAATTAGAAAGCATCTAATATTGCTTCTTAAAGTTGATGCTTTAATTTGATAAGGCAAAATATATTTTTTATAGAATTAAGTATCACAAATTTATCTTTTATTGTAATTTAATAAATCTAAGATTATTAAAATATTAATTTAAATGATATATTTATATATATATATATATATTTAAATATTTAGTCTTTGGATTGCCTAAATCTTCTTAATCTTGTTTTCTAAAATTATATCTTTAATCAAATTACTTAAATTAAAGGGCATCAAATTCTTTGCCACATAAAACACCACTCTAATTATATTTTGGCTCCAATGTTATCAATTCTTGACCTCTCAAAAATACAACTTTATGAACTTTTTAATAAAATAACTTTCATTTTTTTTTTTTAGCTTCTTAGTAATAAATGGTTATATTCTATTAGCACCCTAGATGTTGTCCCCAATCTTTAGCAAATATTGCAACAAAGAAGGATAATAATACAATAAAGAAAATAAAATAGAAATATAATTGGTTATAGCACTATTGTAAAGTTAGAATAGAAGCAGTGATTAGAAAAAAAATTTAGATATTATAAGAATCAGAGAAGGAATAATTTTTTTTCTCTTTTACTTCTTTAAAAATTAGACGTTTAGCTATGAATGAAAACAACAAGATTACTTGCTGCATTTTTAAAAGTTATGGCTAGGAAAAACATTATAAGTTTTTGTACTCAAATAAATAAAAGAGAAGCATAGATTCATTGTTTATAAGATATATATAATTTAATTGGATAGCAAAAAAATACCTT